TTCCCACAGACTTCTGAATGCCGGTTGGCAGCATCTTCACTCAATGAGTAATTTAAGCAAATTTGACAGAACCATTTTTTTGATTTGTCTCTCGAAACTTGAGAGGAAACCAAACTAAAAAAAGATAAACACAAGAAAAAAAATTTTTTTTTTAAGTATGAAAGCAAATAAATATTATGAAATTTAAAAACAAAAACAGGTAAAAGATATAATAATGATAAAATGATAAAACAACTTACTTTGAGAGATTTTTAATCCAAGTATGCTTTACATCCTTCCTCCAGTATCAACATATTTATATAATTTCTCCTCACTTCAGGGGAGTAAAATATGGGCCCGAATATAACTCCATCGTCGAATCCAAAAAGTGTAATATTTATGTCTTTATTTATTTCCATAAATTTCGATATATCCGCAGGCTTTAGTGGAAATTGCAATCCAGTCAAATTTAGTGTGATCCCATTGACTTGAATTACTTCATCATTTATATTCACTTTATAGCTTGTGCATCTGTTCGCATTCATATTTAGTTCACTTAATGCTGCGATTAAGCTCCATTTAAAACAATATTCATCATCTGTGTTTTTTACATTTATAATTGCTTTTTTTCCTTCTAAACAAGAGGGTAGTTTTATATAAGATGATCCTCTTAAGGGTGAATATTGATTAATATTCATCTCCAATCGAGTGAGATGAAGCAAAGTCCATCCACTATCCCTTTCTTTGAATTCTTCCATCCTCGCCAAAATTTTTTCCATGTGCTCCTTATATTCATTTTCAATGTTCGAATAGGCACTAATTATTGTCATCTTACTTTGAAATGACTTTATTTCAATACATTCCTTTTCTTCCTTCAAAAGTCCGTACTCTCCAAAAAGTTCAAAATTTATTTTCACCGATGCATAACTTTCCAACAATGGATACAAGTGAGGTAGAAAAGCTTCTCCTGCTTCCTCCATAAATTGTGTTGGATAAATTACATCATTGTTGGTGTTTTCATATAAGTAGTGAACAATCCTTCCTTGAAATCCAGAACTGATTTTTTTTATCCTTGAATCCACTGGTTCAACAACATTCTTCTTGTGTTGCTCCGTTCGCAGATGATGAGCCCACGAAATGTTACCCGATAGGGTAATGTTGCACTTTCCACAATACTTATTCATTTTTTTTGTTTTGATTTTTTTCTTTTTTTGGAAGTATTGTATTGTTACTTGTACTTTTCACTTTGTTATACTTTACTTTTACTGTAAAGTATTTTATGTTTTATCAATTTGATAAGTTTACACAACACAAATCTGGGTAGTTCACAGTTCACACAACTTTACTTTACACTTGGTAAAGTATTTTAATTTTTATCAATTTGATAATCTCGCACAAATCGAATTCGGATGGAACGTAAGTTAACACAACTTTACTTTAGCTTTGAATTACCGGAGGGTTCACACGACGATTCTAGATGGTTCGCTTAACTCAAATAGTTTTCTAAAACTGAACTACTTTCCACATTTCTCCTTAACATATACATTTTTTGAAAACTTAGAAGGTAACCGTTTTCTCTTTCTATAAGCGCATGAGAATAAATTTTCAAATATGATTAAAGAAAAACGTATTTGACTAAACAAACGATCTCATTTGTTTTTGTTCTGTTAGGAACCACCACCACAGTCACCATTTTGACCACAAGACCGTAGGCAGGTTACACTAACAGGTGTCACCTACAACCCTATTTGAATCAACAAAACGCCCACGCATAACAAAACAACGTTTTTGTTACACTCCCACGCTCACTTTCCCATCTAATGCTCGCTAAAGAGGGGGAGGTTACCGAACTCACGCTTGTTTCACACCACAAAAGTTTGCGGTCTAATATCCCTCAAACCAACACCTTTTGACCACAAGACCGTAGCCAGGTGTCACCTACAACCCTAATTGACTCAACAAAACGCCCACGCATAACGCCTTCTAACCCAAGTTAGAAGCAACATAGTGACCTGTGTGCAACCATTGCACTCCACAAAATCCTACGCATGACAAGACACCTCCTATCACACACGCAAGCCAGGTGTCACCTACAACCCTAATTGACTCAACAAAACGCCCACGCATAACGCGTTCTAACCCAAGTTAGAAGCAACATAGTGACCTGTGTGCAACCATTGCACTCCACAAAATTCCACGCATGACAAAACACCCCTATCACACACGCACCTTTAGCGTGAGAAAAAGACAAGACAAAACAAGACATATCAAAACACCACTCTCTCACACTCCTACACACCACTTTCTAACCTCATTAAGTGACCTGTGTGCAACCATGCTCATCTAACTAGGGTCAGCAACACCCCCCTTTTTGACTTAATTATGCTAATTAGGTCATTAGAACACCTGTGTGCAACCATGCGTGACTAATTAGGGTCACCCCCACCTCCTTTTTTGACATGATTTATTACCTAGTGAGCCAGCTCCCGTATTAATCTACTACTCAGAGAGAAAGCGATAGAGCCCAGAAAAGTATGGATGCACATTTTCAACAAACAGCCTCGGAAAATGCTTCCCTTATTTTAGATTAATTATAACAGGAAAACTCATTTAAGCAATGGTAGACACAAGGTCATCTATCAATATAGTAAATACAAAATGTTAGGGACCTTGAAATTATCAAAGCAAAATTAAATGTTAATACAATATATGAATCACTAGAATTAAATCAGAGTGTGATGGTAAAAAATAATATACAACAAAACTGTTATTTACATACATTATCAAACAAAAACTATGCTCTAATAGGAAGGGATTATTTAAAAGGGAGTAAAGACAAAATAAATTTCGAAGATGGAACGATGTACGGTCATGATAACAATAAGAATAAGACCGCAGTATAATGCCTCAGTCCGCCATCACCAAAAGGAAAGATTGAAGAGGATAAGACCGCAATACAATGCCTTAATCCACCCTCATCTGATGATCAATCTTTTAATTTTGCTATTAATAACGAGCTTAGCGAATGTAATAAATTCAGGTTAGAACATTTAAGCAAAGAAGATAAAGGGTGTTTGGAAAAAATTTTATTCGAATACAAATTTGACCTTTACAAGTACAATTAAACATTCCATTCAGAGCGAAAACGAGGTTCCTAATTATAAAAAACATTATAAATATCCTAAACATTCGACGAAGAAGTCGACAAACAAATAAATGAGATTATGGAACAGGGAATAATTCGTAAATCGAAATCTCTTCACCGTTCACCCGTCTGTACAGTTCCTGACGCTTCAGGAAAATGAAATTTGGAGTAGTAATAGACTACCGAAGTTTGAATGAAATAACTATTAACAACAAATTTGCAATACCTAGAATGTCAGTATTTCACAACAATTGATTTAGCTGGAGGATTCCATTAAATCTAAATGGACCCTGAATCAATTCCTAAGACAGCATTCTCAACAAAAAAAGGTCAAGTTATATGAAACATTATTTGGGGGCACTTACCCAATTTATAAGCAACATTGAGCCAAGACCCAATCTGCAAATAAATCCGACTGACTCCGAGATAAACCCGCGGTCAATTCTTTCTCTCAACTACGCCTCCAAATTATTCCCACCCAGATCAGTTTTACACACTCCGCATCAAACGGATACCATAAACATCCAAGCCGATATTGTAGACATCAAAGCCCCAAAGCCAGCCCCCCTCTCCAAATAACTCTGCCTGACTCCGAGATAAAACCGCGGTCAGCCATTTCTCTCAACTAAGTCTCCAAATTATTCCCACCCAGACCAGTTTCACACACTCCGCATCACACATATACTGTAAGCATCCAAGACGATATTGTAAACATCAGAGCCCCTGAGCGAGCCCTGAAGTCCGCCAACGTAAACACGAAATCGCAAAGGCGATTCCTAAAGTGCGCTAACGTAAACGCCAATTTCGCTCGAATTTTAATTTCAAATTTAATTAGGGAATTCTTTTTTCCGACACTCTTGAGTCACTTTCTTTATCAATTTTGAGGTAAACAATTTTGAGATAAGTCTCTTAAGCAGAGGTTTTATTATTGATCATTGTACTCAAGGCAGGGCAGTCCGTTTTTGAGAATCGTAACGAGCAGTTAAAACGAGTAAAAAATGAAGAGCAGTGAAAAAAAAATTTTTCGACCTTTAAAATTGTAAAATTCAACAAATTCATTAGTGAGAAAGTTAATTGGCGTCCAACGTGGGGGCGCATAACTAAAATTCTAAAACGAGGCTTTAAAATAAAGACTAAAAATGCACTGCTCTAGACAATTAAAAATAATTAAAAGTAATCAAATCATCAAAACAAAAAACCATCATCAAAACAAAAGAGAAACCAGGCTGAACTTCACATGGAAGGAAGAGACAAAAGTTTAAAGTCTAAAAACAAAAAGAGAAGGACAACCCTTACAGGATCATCAATTAAGACGACCCCAAAACAGGATCATCAAGCAACAAAAAGACAAATAAAGAAGAAGATTCGTGAGCGATACATTTTTTTATATATAATAATATAAGAAATTGGTATAAGGAAAATAATAACAAGAAAGGAAGTTAACTTCGTCAAGCCGAAGTTTGTATACCCTTGCAGTTATAAGTATTAAATTTAAAAATACAAAAAATGATAATCCCAAGATTATATGCCAAAAAACACCAAAGCTATAATTTGTTTCATATTATTTTCCCACCAATTTTCCGATCGTTTTTATGGCGGTTATATGTTATAGTCGTGCGAATTTGATTAATTTGAAAATTAAATTCGAAAAGCTTTAAGCTTTGGCATCAATGGAAAGGTAATTAAAATGCCGTTTGAATGATACAAAACATTTCTTAACCCATTCAGTACTTATTGAAAAACACGAATTTGTGTAAGCATCTACTTTTTAAACTTTTTTCCTCGACTTGAAAACTTAAATTTTTTTGTGCAAAAAGTTTCTTTGTACAAAAATAATAGTAACTGCAAAAAGAATTTCCGAATCTCCGATGATGAGATCTATGCGCTTCGAGCGATAGTATAGAGGATCCGAGAGCTGGAGGCCGTTGATGTGTTTCCAATTTGGAGGCGAAAACGATTGGTTTGGTAGAGGTGAGGTCAGCGAGTTCAGAACGTACGCAGAGTCAACAACTAGATTGAACGTTGGGTTTAGCGACGTTCGGATGCAGCATCTTGCCGCAAAGTTGCACCGTTGACCAGTAGTTTGGCCGACGCCGGCGATCGAAGCGCGGATTCTGCATCGTGGAAGTTGGAGAGCTTGGACGGTATGCTCTGAGATTATTGTAGCTTCCGACCCCTGATCGATGAGGGCAGTTATTGATGCTAGAGCGCCGCTCTGGGGGTGGCAAACAATAATCCGTGCGGTAGCTAATAGGATATTCTGTCGCGTTGCGTGGGAGGCTGTGGAAGAATAACATTGGAGGTTTGGATTAGGGGGCTAACTGGTGAGGTGTCGGTATTCATAATCGAAGCGATATGTGGTTGACTGGATGATACGGTCGGCGAGTAAGGTTGGGATGCTTGTGTTATGCTTGGCGCCGCTGCCGGATGAAGTAGAGAATGGTGGCGTTGTCCACAGTGGTAGCAATTCTTTACACTTGAACAGCGGGCAAGCATGTGCGATTTGCTCAGGCAGTTGAGGCATAAGTTTGACTTACTCACGCCCTCCTTACGTTGGTAGCAATCCAAGTTTAGGAATCGCGGACATCGACGAAGGATATGATTACCATTGCAGTGTGGGCAACGAAGCACAGGCGGGCTTGGTTGCGCGTGGGTGTTATAAACCGAGATACGTTTTGTGGTGTGATGATCTAGTGATGATCCAGATTTGTTGGTGCCCGAACAGTTTCTATTTTCATTAACCGGTTGTTGAGAAACTGTTCGAGATCCTTATACGGAGTGCGTTTCTTTCGGTAATTTTGCAGTCAAATAATGGGCGAGCCAGTGATCCCCGTCCTGCAACGACGCGTTGATGGTGTTACAGGCGGCTGCGCAGACGTTGACTGCACTGATCATAGATCGAATATCACCGGGCTTCTCCTTGCCTATGCTTGGCAACTGGTACAACATGTTCATGTGATTGGAGAAGACCACGCGTGGATTGTTATAGCGCTGAATTAGTGTGTCCCATGCCACCGTATAGTTAGCGGCCGTCAACGGAATTTGACGAATATCGCAACCAGCTGGCAGAGATTCCTTGAGGAAATGAAACCGTTGAATGTTGTCCAGCCGCTCATTTTGATGAATTAACCGAGTGAAGGCGTCATAATATCCTGGCCAGTCCACGCAGTTTCCGCTAAACTTGGGTACTGGCAGATGTGGCATGTGGACACGTGCGTCGGCAACCGTCGACACGGCGGTTGGTGCAGAGGCTGAGGACGGCGTCACTGGGAACTTTATTCGTTGGCCTTCAGCTACAAGGCAATAGGTTTCCATGTACAGATCCTCAAAACTGACAGCGATCTTCTTGGCGTGATAGTCCGTTTTGGCATATCCCTCGGTGCAGATGATAACTTGATGGGTGGTCTCAAAAGCCGCATTTAAACTCTCGATTTGCTGCAGGTGCTTCTTATAATAGCTTTCAGATTTGCGAGACGCGGAATCCTTCTTACAGTTCTGCTACAGACGCGTTAGACTTTGAAGACGCTCCTTTTGAAGTGTAACAAAACCTGCTAAGGCCGGATCATCAGCTTCGTGGTCAGACATATTATGAGAATTTTTACCAAATAGCTCTGCTTGATAAATCAAAAAAAGGCAACCGTACTCTGAATTTACGTAACGTTGACTATAGCGTCAGCGCAGCCTGTGCTGTTTTCCGATTCCACTTTGAGTAGGAGTATTCCCTTGGTTGCGAAATTATAACGGGTCTTCTTGCAGTACCCGTGTGTGTGTGTGTGTGTAGAAGCGCTGTCAGCCGACCGGGTGTGTTGCTATTGATGACTGTGCTCTGTCGGTGTGAGAGCACGTGTTGGGGGCACAAACGAAGACGATCGCAATTTGTGTTAGATAGGGTGATTGGTGTTATGCTTTATAACTAACAATTGAAAGATTAAACTGAGATTTTTCAACTTCAAGCAAAAGTCCCCTCATGGGCCACCATGTTAAGTTGTGACGCCGTGCCGGAAATGCTATGTTCGGCTGTCATAGTAAGAGGGGCTCTTGGGAGTAGGTAAACGACTGAAGTTCAAAGATAACAGTTTAACCTTTAATTCATTAGCTTATAATGTGTACACTTCACTCTTGATCATTAATTAACTTTACAAGTAAATGGGTCGCAATGGACAGAAAGTCAAAGCCTGCGATGTTGTTCCGGTCGCTGAAGCTCGTAGTTCTCCTCTTCTTCTTCTTCTCGCAAGCTCTGTAGAGTTGCCAGATGTCCTGACCTTCGTCTTCAGTTGGCAGGGCTATCAGCTGTGTATACGAACCAAGTACCGTGGGACTGAACACTTAAGTTAAGCTACGCTTAGTTAGTCCAATTTTCAAAGTGTAACAATAAACACCCACGCACGTCGCGTAAAAAAACCATTCTCTTATATTTCTATAAATAAGAAAAAAAGGCCAAGCGATTAGAAAAGTTGAAAAATTAAAATTTAATCTGAAAAAATTTTATATATGAAAATAGAAATGTTGAAAGGATACAAAATCGAAAATTTAACAGGGAAAAATGTAAAGTACGAAAATAGAAATTTTTATTATTGTTAATAAAATTACTTTAAAATGGGTACATAGCACAGCGCGCAGCAACCAGTCAGCAGCAAATCGCGGCAGCGACATCGGCAGAAGCAGCAACAACTCGTGACCGCGTAAAACACACGTAAAAATTAATTTAATGAGTTTTCGTTAAATTGCTTGCAAAGGTTAATGTACTTTAAGATTATCGCTTTTAAATTGGAAGACACTTGGAACATTCGCAAAAATCTCTAAAAAAAATCAAAGAGTAAAAAGCCCTCCCTCCCGCGCCCTTACTATTGCTTTTCAGCAATTTCAATTATACATTTAACTGATAAGAATTAGGTAAATAAAATTGGTAGACCAATGAATTGGTCTTAGGGTAGTGTAACGTGGGCATATTAGTGCCCGAGTCCTGACAGGGACTTGGGCCGAGGGAGAGGCGTCCGATGTTCAGGCAACATTTGCCGGCTTAAGCTACGTCGTATTCGGGTCGTGCGATCTTGGTATGCCTCTCTGCTCTCCAACATAACGAGAATAAATAATTAAAGTGCCTGGAAAATAATTCTAGTCCATAAAGTTCGTCAGTCGTCAGTCCACACTGCCCCACAAGCTTAGCTGTCGCTTTATCGAAATACGATCGGGCTGTTTTTTGGCCATATTCCGTCCCCTTCACACATTCGTGTGCCAATGGATCGTCGCGGGCCGCGCAATACGATCCCCTATTGTCAAGGTTGTCCGTCGAAAGTTATGTCATTGTTCTTGACCTACTCCACTTCACGCGTCAGCACACACCCCTTAATAAAGCTTTAGCACTTCATGGTTTTGATATCTTTTAACATTATAAATTAATTGGGTAATATATATATCGGCGTGCACCGTGGATGAGTATCGAACTTACCTGCGAAGGTGCACACATCAGCAAAATGCTGACTATTCACGACTACAAACGTCGCTTAGAGGGCACTTGCAATTGTACATACAACAACAAGGCTAGTACTCGCCGCTAAAATAGTTTATAGTAGTCTATAAAACTGAAGGATACTGCACGAATATTTATATATGTATGTTTATAAGAAAGGAACCATGTTCCGAAAAACTAACCCCCTCTTTAAATCCTGGAAGATGAGATCTCGACGCTCCGGATCCTAGGCTTTGCGAAAATATTATATTGGATATATATATATAAATATTAGTACACCAAAATACGGCTGTTCTTAAGTATACCAATTCACTTAAACACAAAATATATATATATTATGCCAGAGGCATGCAATTTCTTTAACGGCTGGTGGAGAGATTCGTCCTCTCTAATTGTTCATCATGATTCGCACTTTGTCTATTGATTCGGTTGGTTTAAATATATTTCAATGCATGTTTGAATGCTTCCAATGATTTTTGATTTTCACTTGTTACCCAATTATATTATTTGAGGATATTGGTCTTTGGTTATGCATGAGGTCACTTTAGCTTTGGTTGGCTCGATTAACACATTTATATAGCTTCACTACTTTCTCCGACGTATGCTATTAGTCGCTACGCTCTGAACGGATGGTTCCTACAGCTGAACAAATTTCAGGAGCATGGAGATCACGGATACTGCTTCCACAAACATCACAGTATGTCGGATGTCGTCCTTATTGTTGATCCTCTCCACGTTCTTTGATGACAATAGCGGCGCTGGTTCGACACATACAATTATTTCGAGCTGCAATTGTGTTCTCCTCAAGGACTGTTGGATATGGTGGCTGGTCCTGGTTGCAGAAGACTCCATGGACGACTGCCCCAGGGAAAGTCGCATTCCCTCGAAGCTGCCGGCTTCCATCAGCAAGACACTCAAATGGATTCTCTCCCTTTCTCTATTTGTCTAAGATATTTTATACCAGACTAGAGCTTTTACTTGGCTGCGGGTATGGATCGGATAAACTAGGTGTTCCCACCTAGGATTATTGTTTCTTGATATCTGCTATCTTGGGAGTCAACGGCCGGCTTCTGCCCTTTGCCAGCTACCGGAGTATAGTTACCAATAGGTCGATAGTGGCCGTTGTTCTGGCCACCCCAGAACTGACGAATTGCTTTTTCTTCTGCCTTTACCAGTATGAGTCTGATTAGTCACATGCACCCCTCCACCTGGCTAAAGATTCATCGTTTTTTCTCTATGTGAATCTTTCTATGTGGAGGGCGTACGTAGCATAACCAAAACTTTATTTTCTTTTCGCCTTACAACTTCTTCAACTAGGTATCTGTGGGTTAAACATGTTTTTTGAGTTCTTCTCTATAGAATCCGTCCTAAATCGGGTTGCCATCTAAGTCTTCAAGTAATTATGTTTTAGGGTATGTATTCTTCACCATTCTAATGTTAAAGATTTCAGTTGTGTAGTTTGGTGTATACCCCTTCTCAAAAACATGTTTATATGTATTTACTAAGTCGAACGTGGCCCCTTACGGTATTTACTTGCAACAGATATTTTCAGGTTATTATAGGATGTTTGTAGTATTTGTTTTTATTGGAAGAATTAACTTTGCTTGTGATCATTTTTATTGTTCTATGCACTCTATTATTATATTTATTAATACATTGCTTATCCTTTTTAAACGAAATTAAACTCACGCCACATTAATTATTTAAGAGTTCTATTGAATCGTTCAACTATAGATGCTTTTAGAGTACTGAAGGTTGAATAATGATTTATCCTATAACTTTTAATAATACCATAACTTTCGACATTCGAAAATGTGTCTGTAAAGGTCAACAACAACTCCCATTTCAACCAAATCTGCTTGCCACATATCGTTTATACCCTTGTAATCACTCGTCTTCGTTGAAAGTTTTTTCGAGATGGTCCGTGCAACGCATTTTCGATTTCTCGCTTAATTATATTTTTCTAAAAGGCTGAAAAGCGACACCTTCTAATTCAACTGTGTTTTTTTCGGTAATGATATCGGTTCTGTTACATATTTAAATATATAGTCCTCAATGGTTTTAATCTTTTCCAGTATCTCGGAAAAATTTGTTGAGCGCTGTCTGCCCTCTTAATACACAATTCAATTTTATTTTCTAAGCTTGTAATTTTCGTGAGTCGACAATTAATATTTTGAGCTATAATTTTTCTTAAGTCTTCTCCCAAATTTCTCATGTTCTCATCAGTATATTGTCATCGTTGTCTAAAGGTTTAGTTCCGGCTTTGATACGTTTATTTTGACCGTCCTTATCGATGAATAATCCCTCAGTAGACTTAAAACGTCTTTAAAACAAATTCCCAAAATACCCATTAAAATATAATGCTTTGCTCACGAAATTCCTCTAATATTGAAAAAATTTCAATATTGTGACTGGTATTACCCGTTGCTTTTGATGCTACCAAAACTTGCAATCATTCGACTAATTCATTTACGTCATTCCAATATACATAGTTCGGATTTTATTTCTGAAGGGTCATGTAACCAAAACCTGTTTTTAAGCGAAGTGGAGTAGACGTTGTAGGACTGAAATCTTTGTCTATCAACTTATGCATAATATGGCTAAATTTATAACCTCGTGTACCGTTGATTTGGTTTTTAGGTTTAAAGCCTTCTCTATGTATATTCGTTTCTTAAATAATTTTTTTATCCATTTTCAAATTTTGATCATAATAGTTTTTAGGTTTACTAAGAAAAATTAGAAAGTACAGACCAGAAGTCAGAAAATGTTAATTTATTATAGTTTGTTATTCTATGTCTCCCAATGTTAATGAATTGCTTGCAGTTTTTTAGGTCCATAACCTTTATCCAACACATTTCCTCTGGTTAAATTACTGATATTAAAATCAAAATTATAACTAGTGTTATTATCTTCTAGCTCTGCATCCACACCCATATTGGCCTCTCCTGTATACATTGGTAAAGGTGTCGTCCCTTTTTCTTCACTCCGTCTCCTTTTTCACTTCTTCTATATCTTCCTCTATATTCGTCTGGGAAAAAAATTCATTATAGAAATCACCATCACCGAAAGGCCTTGGTGGAGTTATATTTCGATTAGACTGCAGATCTTCCTCATTAGTTGTAA